GTGTAATTTTGCAATTTGTTTTGTTTTAACCTCTTTGTTTAGTTTATTGTTCTTTTTTCCTGTTTACAGTTGGTTTATTGGTAGTAGCCGTTACATGATTATAAATCGGAAGTTATATTATTATCTAGTACCTATTTAGAGCTATTTTATTGTGGTAAGATTTGTTTCTGAGTGGTGGTTGTATCTGTCTGATGTGTTAAAAGGACCACCTCTTAAAATGTAAATGCGTTATTAACAGATAATGATTGTACTAGGGACAAGATTACGAGAGTAAAAATGGCGTAATGACCGATTTCTTTATAATAATCAAAGCTCAGTGACAACTGAAGATAACGTACCCGTTTTTTACGTGTTGTGCATTTCCAAACGTCGTCGTAATTAATATTGTCAGTCACATAAACTATTAGACACAACAATAAAGCTGTAGTAATAATGTTACATAAATATTACACAACATCTCGCCTTTTATTCCTAAAGGGGTAGGCAGAGGTGCACATTACGGCACTTAATGTCACTATACAATGTAACACCCACTTTTCACTATTTATGTTATGAGTCCGATTCCAGACTCCATGCTACTACTGTGAATTTTTTAAAACTTGCCTAAAGTTACATTTGCGACTACTCGGCCAATGAGGCAGTCTTTAAGCTTATCTGACCATCCAAAATTAGAGCACACTCCACTCGGACCAAAACAAAGACAACTAGATACTGAAGAAGTAACCAGTTTACGAAACTAACACAACGTACAACATAAAAATTCCCAAGCAAGCCTTGCAGAAACCAAACCAATTTAACTTTACAGTTCAGAAAATGAACTCTAAAACAATTCAAGAGAAATTTTCTTTGGGCGGCGATAGAAATGTATGGTAGATAGCTGTAAATGTAAGTTTGTTTTGCTGGTACACTTGAACAATGGTAGTAGAGGTAAAACACGACAATGGGAGTTATCAGGACATCTTTATGAGGAGTGCGCGTCAGTAAGTCTATGTCTATGGGATGCTATGTTGCAACATAGTCCGCAATGAATAGACATAGTATGTACACTTGAACGAACAAGATACACAATGGAATAGACTAAAACAATTGAACATTTTCTTCTTGAAAAGTTTATTGAATTGGTAAAGTATTTTATTTAATGTGAATATGATGTTAAAGAGCCGCTGGATACTAACTTACTACTTTCAATCTCTATCAATCAATTTATTAATCATATCAATCAAAATATTTATTTGCAAGAATACAATTTGGTTTACAGGAAAGATCTTATAACCTAAGAGTCACTGTATTCAGCCTGCAAGCAAGCGTGCAAATTATATATATCTTTATCATTATTCATGCAATTAATTATTATTGTGTATCGTTTTTTTATGGCATAAGCCGGTAAACGAGCATGCGGATCACCTGATGGTAAGTTATCGGCGTCGCCCATGGACACCTGGAACACCAGAGGCGTTACAAGTGCATTACCGTCTTTTTGGGGATTAGGAGTTTGAGGATCGTTGGGGATTCAGGGATTGGGGAAGGGGAGGGTAATAGACGAAACACAACGCAAGCGTTGCTTCATGTCGGTTTTCTGTGAGGCCGTGGTATCACTCCGGTCGAGCCGGACCGGACCATTCGTGCCGAAGCATGGCTCTCCCACTCTTAAAACACTCTGTATCCAGCCTGCAAGCAAGCGTGCAAATTATTTATATCTATGCCATTAATAACGCAATCAATTATTATTATTTATCATGTTAAGGTTTTATAAATTCGATAAACATATCTAATTATTAGATACAACATTCATTTGCTAATTAATGGAAATGAAATTATTATCTTTTATTTCTAAATTGCATAAATTCTCCAATACTATGAATACAGTTCTATTGTAGCCATTTATTCCTCTGATGATATTTTGAGTAAAATAAAATTGTGGTTTATATGACACAATAGTATCAACTGTCTGTCAATTAATTTTACAATATGAAATATCATAATTGGTAATAATCGACCAATAGATACAATAATCACACACGAAGTGAGCTATATAAAGCCAGTTTGCTATGATCTCGCTTAGTACGTACTTTCCTCAAATTCGACGGTCAGTTTATACTGGTTTTACTAACTTGCCAATGCATTTAATTACGTGTGTGATTACGGACAAGTTTCTCACTATACACATTTCCAAATTTCGTTTCTTTATCTACGCATTACCTAAAGCTAGTGCCGTTTGAATAGATGTGCACATGCAGGCATTATTCTCTACTTGGGCAACAAATAGTTTGCCCACTTACGTTCAGCTGCAAGCTTCATATTTGAAGGTGACGGTTTAACTAATATATTACTTGAACTTTGCATATTATTGCTATTTTGACGCCGTTTGCACCATCTGTGTTAAGTAGGTGATTTATTTTTTTTGGTGCTTTGAACTTCAGTGGGGTTTTGTGGTGAAGGAGTAAAATTGTGTTCTATGCTAACAGTCAAAAGGATTACTTTTGTTTGTCCTTTAAAGAAGTAGATTAGGATTCGCAAGATTTGCATAAAAATAAGAATTATTAAAACAACACAACATAACATAACATCACGCCTATTATCCCCGAAGGGGTAGGCAAAGTTGCACATTACGGGACTTAATGGCACTGTACAATGTAACACCCACTTTTCAGAATTTCCATGTAATAGGGGGTGAGTCTATTGCCATATACCATAGGCACAATTCCAGACTCCGTGCTACTACTGAGATTAAAAAAAAAAACAATAATACTTTGCTCCACCCGGGAATCGAACCCGAGACCCCTTGCCCAGCAGTCGCATTTGCGACCACTCGGCCACAAGGCAGGCAATGAGAATTATTACAGTTGGTTTGTTCTAACTTTGGCCTATATCTTCGCTTCATAATCAATGTCATCGATCATAATGAACCGTTTTACTTTAAGTTATGAAATTAATTAGTAAATAAAATCTGTGTTAACTCTTTGTTAAGAATATGTTTTTCCAGAATATAAACATTGACTTTGGCAATACAAAAAAAATTCCCTTACCATCTACACAAAGCATGTGGAAAAGCAAAGATTAGATTACACAAATGTATTGCACTTATCTTTACCCAATGCATTTTTTTGTGGACACAACAATGAAAACAAACCAAACATAAGATTACCCATTAAAATATGATCGTGAAATACAATAAACGATGTGGTAACATCAATTAACATTTTCGCAATAATTTACATTAGGTACATACACAATTCACATTAGATTATTTCGTAATTGTATTGCAGAGTTCTGAGATAGTGGCCAGTGACCCGTCATTACTTATTAAATGCGTTTAAATGACTGGCTGGTCGTGCGAAGACGTCCAGGTTAATGTGGCGAAAGATTGAATTGAAAGGTTATCTGTCATTAATATTGTTTTTCTTAGAAACGTTGTCCCACTCTGGGTCTCGACTGTTATAGTTGTTTTTATTTTTCTATAAAATTAATAACAAATAAATTAATTAATTAATAAATTACTTTCTATCCTCCCGAACCGAACTTGGTTTTGACACCTTTTAGTGTTTTTACAGTCTAATTTGTTAGGTAGGAGCGGTCGCAAATGCGACTGCCGGGCAAGAGGTCTCGGGTTTGATTCCCGGGTCGGGCAAAGTAATATTAAGTTTGTAAAAACCTCAGTCCGCAAAACCCGCACGGAGTCTGGAAATGTGCCCGGTATATGGCAATAGGCTCACCCCCTATTACATGGGATTCATAACATAAATAGTAAAAATTGGGTGTTATATTGTACAGTGGCATTAAGTGCCGTAAGGTGCACCTCTGCCTACCCCTTCGGGGGTGAAAGGCGTGATGTTATGTTATGTTATGTTAATTAGAGAAACTACTGGATATATTGAATATCTTCAGTACTTATTTAGCTGTAAATAAAGAGTGAAGGTATATATACATATATCTTTATGTCTATTCGTTTTACTATCCATCATCGGTTTAATGTTTCCTGTGTTACGGATCATTCACAAATACACCAATTATACGAACTATTAAAAGGTCTAATAAACATATTCCATTAAAATTATGTTTGTTTTGATATGGAACCTTTTGACACGCATTTGCCCTACGTCTTGACCCTTTTATGAAGTTATTTCAATTAAAGATGATTCGATTCAGTAGGCACATTGAATGTGTTACTCTAATGCGTCTATTTGGTAACTCCCGTTTTATGTTTGTCGATTTTGATTCTTTTCGGTTGTTTGTCGTGAACAATATTGGTATAATATAATTTCGAAGTTTAACTCGCATCAACCCCTTTATTTCACTGCACTTCCCTATGGTTAACTGTGAGAGAATGCCTTTTTTTTAAACTGTCAAACACCAAGCGGTCACCGGTGACCGCGACCTATTGTTCTTTAATTGTGTCTATAAAACCGGTACTCGACGAGTTAAGGGGGGAAAATCATCTACTTAATGACTGCTCCCGCCTGGGTGAGGCGGGAGGGAGTGTCAGACTCTTACTGACTAAAAACCACCCCGTTCCTTCTCCTGCACGTCGAGCCGGAGCCCCGGTTACCCGTTAGGTTCTCCGCGACTCCGAATCGGCATCGGCCCTATTGGGCCCCGTCTGTGATGGTCTGATGGCTCTTTGAGGCGTGCGCGGAACGCGACGCGCCGTACGCTCGGGGTGAGAGAATGCCTTAAGGCATTAAGTCCGCCATTCACTGCATTTTTTTGTGAAGAAGCGAAAAATAAACAAATGATTAAGTGCCGTGGAAGTGCATTTTCGACCTTTTGGGGATTAAGAATTGGAGGATTATTGGGGATTTAGGGATTGGGGAGATTAGGGAGAGGGTTTATTGGGCCTCCGGTAATCTCACTCACACGACGTAAAACAACGCAAACGTTGTTTCTTGTCGGTTTTCTGCGGGGCCGTGGTATCACTCTCGTCGAGCCGACCCATTCGTACCGAAACATGGCTCTCCTACACTTAAACACCTCGACACTAACGCTATGTTTATTTGTTCCAGGATGATTTGAAACCCAGAGTGCCGTTGACGAGGTTCACATGTTTTGGCCGAGGGGCAGGATACTATGCTGATGTGGATACTGGCTGCCAGGTAAGAACTTGGCACATCACTTTAGTCATCTTCTTTTGTCATAAGAATAATGTTCATTAGAACACTCACACGCCCATTCTACTGTTATATTGAATGGATGGTTACACGTAATATAGATAATCTAAATATTTTTTTGTGGCGGTAAGCCATCGGCGTCGCCCATGGACACCTGGAACACCAGAGGCGTTACAAGTGCGTTACCGGCCTTTTGGGTATTAGGAGTTTGAGGATCGTTGGGGATTCAGGAATTGGGGAGATTGGGATGGGGAGGGTAATTGGGCCTCCGGTAACATCACTCCCACACTTATTTATTACCATACCAATTCTTTTTTAATTTTTTAATTTAATTTAATTATTATAACATACCAATTAAAATAAACTACAAAGTTCATGACCTACCTTTTACAAGTTTAAATAGAACCTAGAACGATTACCACGGGGTCAAAGACTCGATAAAAATTGTACGTAATTCTCGACCTTATGTACCAGGTAACAAGGCATTTGGAATCACGAAGTTTATCTATCGATTACACATAATGCAATTATATATGGTTATTACAGTAATTAGCTACCGGATGGGTTGTTCACACTTTACGGTCGAATATAGAAGGTATTGTGGTCGGATATTGCGATGAGAAGATTACAATTAATTAAGGTTGACCTGATTGCTTTGTGTAAAGGTTATACCTCTAAGGTGTAAGATTTAATTGAAGGGGTTTTTTAGATGAGAAAGTTAACTGTTATGTAAAGGGTACATCCTCACTTGGTAAATGACATTTGGATATTTGTCTATAGGAAAGTCAATGAGGTTGATTCTGATATTCGATGGGTCAAATCTAATTTATAAAAAAACCATAAATAAACTTTTCTATTAACTAAAATTCGCGGGTTACTCATATCAGAGGGATCAGTAGGTTGCGCGACGCCGCCGCGCCCGCGCACGCTGCGCATGAGGAAGAACCCCTCTGTCGTTCGAAACTAGTAGAGCTTTTCTCAGTATATTCACGTGAGTAACCTGCGATTTTTAGTTAATTTAGTATGTCTCACGATAGTTATTATAAAAACTTTTCTATTCACTAATGAGCTAACAATATTTTACCAACAACTTCCAAAAACGAAGCACTTTTGAGCAATTATAATAAACATTGTGTTCAATATGAAACAAAGACGCGGTTAGTAGATAGACTAGCTACAAAATCACAAGCAATACCCACATTATACGACTGCCGGCAACTTGGCGCGGTGCCTGGGCAACTGGCTGCCGTGCAACGTGTCTCGGGTTCGATTCCCGCACGGAACAACTCTTTGTGTAATCCACAGACTGTTGTTTCGGGTCTGGGTGTTATGTGTTTATGAACTTGTATGTTTGTAAACGCACCCACGACACAGGAGAAAATCCTAGTGTGGGGGCAACGTTTATCATAAAAATAAACTCATACAAATGCTACAACTCTACAGCCATTACTTTACATAATAGTTACGCTTATTGTCTATATCTTCCTGTTGAATAATAATAAACGAGATGAAAGTTTAACAATACGTTTATTAGCCGGTAAAGATTACAGAGAACAGACAGAATGCACTAGCGCCACATGTGACAACAATCAGAAACTTTTGGTTATGTTCGGAAACTACAATAAACTAACAATACTTATTGATTTAATGTTTAATATTTTAACATCCTCCCTTAAACTAAAATCAATCCCATCTTTGAAGCACAGTAGACCAGTTTTGAATGTGATGTCGCTTTAGTTAATGCATCTGCCACCATCAAGTCCGTCTGAATATACTGCACATCAATGGTACCTCCAATAACTTTGTCACGTACATAATGGTGTCTGACATCGATATGTTTGGTCCTGGAATGATAGCCGTCGGATTCTGAAAGTTTAATAGAGCTTTGGTTATCGCTATAAATGATCATTGCTTCAACCTTCAGTAGAGGCCAAAACGTTTCTTGAAGTTGTTTCAGCCACATAGCCTCTTGAACACAGGATGATAAAGACATATACTCTGCCTCGGTTGTCGACAGAGCAACAGTTGGCTGGCGTTTAGAGTTCCAGCTGATAGCTCCTCCCTGAAACAGAAATGCGTACCCCGTGCAGGAACGCCGATCATCCTCCGAGCTTGCCCAGTCTGCATCACAGTAGCCATGAGTCATGTTTTCGTCTGAGTTTTGTTTGTAGCTTAGTCTGTAATCTTCAGTACCTTTTAAATACCTCATAACACGCTTCAAAGCCACCCAATGTGACATTTCAGGTTTCTGATTGTACTTACTCAACATATTTATTACATAGCTTATATCTGGTCGAGTAATTTGCGAAATATACAATAAACATCCAATTATTTCTTGATATGGGACTCCATTCAAAGTACTTGATTCTTCAGATATCCCTTTTAACTTAGTATTAGCATCCATTGGAATCTTAACACTCTTACAATCAGCCATGCCATATTTATTCAGTACCTCTCTTATATACTTTTTCTGATCTAAATATATGATTCCATTCTTCCTTTCTCTTTTAACATGTATGCCAATACAATAGTTAATCTCCTAGATCCTTTATTTTAAATTGTTTGCTTAACTCCTCCTTAACATGTTTTTTAGACTCCATATTATTTGTAAATAAAATTAAGTCATCAACATATGTAGCCAAAAAAATCATGTTATTGTTGTCTACAATTTTATATAAATACAAGGATCTAACCTGTTCTGTGATAGACCAATTTTCTTCAATGCAGAACTTAGCTTTTTGTTCCATTGCCGGCTTGCCTGTTTTAATCCATACAATGACTTTTTCAGAAGACATACTTGTTTGCCATTGCCATACAGTGGTGGTTGTATCATATATATCTCCTCTTCTATATCACCTTGTAGAAAAGCTGATACAGCATCCATTTGGCAGATATCTAAATCAAATTTAGCTGCTAAGGCAAATAAGTACCTCAGAGAAGCATACCTTACTACTGGTGAAAATACTTGAGTGTAGTCCACACCAGGTCTTTGTGAACAACCTTTAATTACTAATCGTGCTTTATATTTAATCACTTCTCCATTTTCATCAGTCTTCCTCTTAAAAACCCATTTGCATGGTATGGCACGTTTGTCACTGGAAGAGTAGTCAAAACCCAGGTATTATTCTCTAATAATGACTGATATTCCTCATCCATAGCTGCTTTCCAATGTTCAGCATCAGAGCCTGACAAAGCTTCCTCAACAGTTACTGGATCTGAAACCTGTTGAACACACATGAAATTATTGTGTCTCTGATGAGATCTTAGAGTGATATTTCCAGTGAAACTATCGTTACTAGTATCATCTTCATCATTGGAACTAGGATAATATGTTAAATCAGTTGTGTTATTATTTGTTACACAGCTATCAAAAGATGAGTCAGTCCTTGAGTGTAATGTATCATCTTGAGTCTCACTCTGTGATGTATCATCAAATGTCACTTGATTATTTCCTTCACTCAGAGGAACATCCACAAACTCTTTGGTAAGTACAGGTTGTTGTGAATCATTTTCATTATTATTTAATAATTTTTCAACAAATATGACATCTCTGCTAATCACAATCCTTTTATTTACCGGATCATACAGTCTATAGCCTTTGGTATTATCACAATATCCCACAAAAATTAATTTCCTCGACTTACGATCCCATTTTAATCGGTTTTGCTTTGGAATATGTACCATGGCCTTACAACCAAAAATCTTTAGATTAGAAAGGTTTGGTTTCTTACCAGTCCACTTTTCAAAGGGAGTTACCTCAGCCAAAGCTCGTGACGGTGATCTGTTTATGATGTAGGCCGCAGCAGTGACCGCCTCTGCCCATAACTGTTTATGCAGCTTTGCTTCAAATAACATGCATTTTGCACGCTCCACCAATGAACGATTCATCCGCTCCGCTAAGCCATTGTGCTCAGGGGTGTACGGGGTGCTGGTCTGGTTTTGATGCCGGAAGCTGCTAGGAAATCAGAGAATTCTTTATTACAGTATTCTTTTCCATTATCACTACGTAATACTTTTATTTTCTTTTCTAACTCATTTTCTACTTCTTGTTTGAATTTTTTAAACACAGACTTAATATCCATCTTGTTCTTAAGAAAATAAACATATACTTTACGGGAATAGTCATCTATGAAAGTTATGAAGTATTTCGCACCACCTGCAGATGGTGTCTCCATCGGACCACATAGATCTGTATGTACTATTTCTAGCAATGCATTTGCTCTTGAACCGGATTGTGGAAATGGTAAGCGTGTTTGTTTAGCTTCGCAACATGGTATACAAACGCTATCAACATTTTTATCTGTGATAGTTATACCCTCAGCACAGGATTCTAACCTCTTTACATCAGCAAAGTTTAAATGCCCCATTCTTTTATGCCATGTAATAATATCTGTCTTACTTTCACAAGTAACAGCATAAGCATGCACAGAAACAGTGTTAAGTTTATACATGTTATTGATCAGTCTTGCATTAGCTATAAGCATCTTATTGGGATTATATATCCACCACATCAGTAAATTCTACTTTACAACCATTTTTGGCTAATTGACTAACTGATAGCAAGTTTACGCTCAACTCAGGAACATATAAAACATTTCTCACCTGGATTGGATATTCATCTTTGCAAAATGTGGTTTGAATGTTTACTTTACCCATATTTTTCACAGAGACTGCATCATTATTAGCCACCTTAATTTGCTGAATCGGAGATGCTTCCATATCATACATCCAGTCAGAACATCTGGACATGTGCATTGTGGCACCTGAGTCGATATACCAATCGTCTTTGTCCACATTACTGTAAGCTGAAAAAACTGCTGAAAAACTGTTTTGATTAGATTTCTTTATAGTGCACTGATTCTTTAAATGACCATATTTATTACAATTAAAGCAACGTGGCCCTTTTCCTTGCGACTTGACTTTGTGTTTAGAGGTATTTTTGTGTTTTGTATATAATACTGAAGACTCGGAACAACAATCAGAAA